GTTTAGGACTTCAGTTAAGGTAAGGTTTAGGTTTAGGTTTAGGGTTAGGGATTTCAGTTAAGGTAAGGGTTAGGTTTAGGGTTAGGTTTAGGGATTTCAGTTAAGGTAAGGGTTAGGTTTAGGGTTAGGTTTAGGGATTTCAGTTAAGGTAAGGGTTAGTTTTAAGGTTAGTTTTAGGGTTAGTTTTAGGGTTAGGTTTAGAACTCGTGGTTATTACTTGTTTGTTGAAGGCGCACTTTTGTCAGCGCGCTTCTGCGCTCATTCGCTGGCGCGATTTAGAACTCGCGGGTTTCTCGCCGCGGTTTTGTTGGTCGTGCTTTTGTCGAGCGCGCATTTGTCGGTGAACCCTTCTATTCCACTCCCTCTGTCCTTACTTTTTTTTTCTGCTGCTTTCCAACTACTCATCTCCCAATGGCCTCATCTTTTACTCATCCCCAGACTCCTCGGAGGGGAAAAGATCCAAGGAACGGTGCTAAAAATGGACCACTTGGGTTTTACCCAAGCTGGTCTGATACATCTGAGGGTAACTTTTCTATGGGTGGGAACAAGACAGGGAGGAATGGAAAACTGAAACGGGGAGTCGCCTGCCTCCCTATGACATGTATATCCCAAAGCAGAAAAGTGAAATGTTACCCTCAAAAGTTCTGACGACGACGGACGCTCCTGAGGTATTTTCTGCAAGCAGTAATCAACAAATCTTCTAAAAGAGTCTGTCCTGAATATGGGAACAGAACGGATGTCAGAACAGGCTCAGGTAGGAGGAGGGATAGAAATTCAAGGTGTGGAAGCTGAGAATTGCTGGCATTGATGTGGTTGACTAGTTGGGTAATGAAATGTCTGCAAGAAAACCACCAAGCTCAGAGAGCACCAAGGGCCCCACGGTCCTCCTCTTCTTCCTCAACCTCACTCCCTACTAGCACTGATGATACTCCTGGCTTGGGTCATGAAACGTCTGCAACAAAACCACCAAGCTTAGAGTACGAAGGACCCCACAGTCCTCCTCCCCCCTCCACATTTTTCTCCTCCATTCTGCAATCCTTCTAGCACTGATGAAGTTACCTAGTTGGGTAATACCACCACCATCCTCCTCCTCCTCCTCCTCCTCCTCCTCCTCCCTGCAAATCCCATTCCATTCTAGCACTGATGATGTTAGGTAGTTGGGTAAGGAATGGTCTGCAAGAAAACAACCAAGCTNTTAGTATTTTGGGGCTAAAAAGGTCAAGGTTCACCTCGCACATATGTGCTAGTCGTTCCCGACTCCAGGGGGCGGTGCTCATCTCCGTTTCAAAGCCGAAGAGCCAGCGCTGTCCGAAGACGTCTCCGTGGTCATGTGGCCGGCATGACTAAACACCGAAGGTGCACGGAACGCTGTTCCCTTCCCACCAAAAGGTGGTTCCTATTTTTCTACTTGCATTTTTAACGTGCTTTCGAACTGCTAGGTTGGCAGAAGCTGGGACAAGGAACGGGAGCTCACTCCGTTACGGGGCGCTAGGGATTCGAACCGCCCAACTGCTGACCTTTCTGATCAATAAGCTCAGCGTCTTAGCCACGTCCCTTTCATTTTGGGGCTAAGTAGCCTCAAAATCCCATTTTTTAGGCACCAGGTACCTAAAAGGGGAGAATCGCTTCATGGAAACTCCTATTTCACATCTATTTTTAACCGCAAATTGGAAATAGTTACTCCATCCCAGATAGGAAGAGATGGTTAAAATAATAATAATAATAATAATAATAATAAAATGTTAGTTGCTATCTGCCTTAGGGTCATTCCAGCAGCCATACTGACAGGAAGCAGATGATGGTTTTCGACATGCGTTCAAGTACAGGTAGTCCTCGATTTACGACCACAATGGAGGGGCTGGAATTTCCGTCACTAAGCAAAGCGGGGCGGTTGGTTAAGTGAGCGGCGCCCAATTTTACAACCTTTTGGGGGTGGGTTGATGAATCCCGTGGGGTTGTTAAATGAACCCTGCGGTCGTTAAGCGAATCAAGTATTGACTGGGCTTGTCGGAAGGCGATCAAGTGGCCCCCGGGATATATATATACGCCGGTCGGCAAGCACTGAAATGTTAATCATGTGACCCTGGGGACTGGTCCCTTTCTCCAGGGCCGTGGTAACCTTGAATGGCCGCAAAAACGAATGGTCGTAAGTCGGAGAGTACCTGCCTTCAGGTTTGCATGCTGCATGCAGTGATTATTTGGTGGGGTGAAGGACCACTGTGTCTGGAAGACCGCTCCGTAAGAACGGGGAAGGTGAATTCACACTCAAATCACAACACAATGAGGTTTCTATGCTTGCTAGTGGATGGTTCACGTTTAGGGGGTTAAAATATCTGGGAGGAAGGATCTCGGTCACTGGGCTTTCTCTATGGTCCTTGTTGCTTTTCTAAACCAAGATTCCTTCTAGTCTATAGCGCCGTGGCGGCGCAGTGGTGAGAATGCAGTATTGCAGGCTGACTCTGCCGAATGCCAGCAGTTCGATCAAGGTTGACTCAGCCTTCCATCCTTCTGAGGTCGGTTAAAAAAAAAGGAGGACTCAAAGGACTGTTGGGAACAAGAAGCTGACTCTGTAAACCGCTTAGAGAGGGCCATTGGTCAGTTGTCCTGATCTAAATACCACGTTAACACACTAGCACTGTATTATATTGAGGGGGGGAGCATAAATAAAGAAGATACAATGAGGAAAACATTCCGCAGTTGTCCTCCAGATGGAGTGTCCTCCCTTGATCGATGGGCGGATTGGGCATGGACTGGTCTTATCCCCATTTCAAGCTGGAATGAAGTGACCATTGGTCCATCCTCATCTGAATTCAGCCACGGGGAGGAGTTGCATTTCTGCTTGGGCTGGACGCTCTATCATCTCTGTCGGACATGGCCACGAAGGAAACGATCTTCTTTAATCCGGGTACAAAATGACAACTACCGGGCCCTTTTGGGGGATCTACCGTGTTTTCCCCAAAATAAGACAGAGTCTTATTATCTTCCCCCCCCCCTCCGAAATAAGCGCTTGGCCTTATTTTCGGGGAGGTCTTATTATTTTTGAGGTGCTCCCCTTAACCTTGGCTGGCGGGCGTGGATCAACTGATCTAGAGAGGGTCAGAAGTTCTGTCTCAGTTTCTGGCCCACTCTTGCCAGCGCGGGAACTAGGGTTTGTGGTAGCGGCCGCTGCGAGGCTGTTCTGCGGGGATGGCAGGTGCATGCGGAGCGCGTGAGACATGCTCCACCCCCTCTGCCCTCCAGGAAATGGCAGGGACAGGCTGCGTATGTATTTGAATATTTTCGGGGAGGTCTTATTTTCGGGGAAGGATTTATTTTAGTGCATGGGCTCAAAAGCCCGATTGGGCTTATTATATGGGGAGGTCTTATTTTTGGGGAAGGACTTATTTTAGCGCATGCGCTCAAAAGCCCGATTTGGCTTATTATTTGGGAAGGTCTTATTTTTGGGGAAGGACTTATTTTAGTGCATGTGCTGAAAAGCCCGATTGGGCTTATTATTTGGGGAGGTCTTATTTTCGGGGAAGGACTTATTTTAGCGCATGGGCTCAAAAGCCCGATTGGGCTTATTATTTGGGGAGGTCTTATTTTCGGGGAAGGACTTATTTTAGCGCACACGCTCAAAAGCCTGTTTGTGCTTATTATTTGGGGAGGTCTTATTTTCAGGGAAACAGTTATTTTAGCGCACACGCTCAAAAGCCTGTTTGTGCTTATTATTTGGGGAGGTCTTATTTTCAGGGAAACAGTTATTTTAGCGCACACGCTCAAAAGCCTGTTTGTGCTTATTATTTGGGGAGGTCTTATTTTCAGGGAAACAGTTATTTTAGCGCACACGCTCAAAA